CAAAGATAGAAATTTTGGATCGAATTAAAAATCAAGAGCGGATAGCTGATATTAGTAGGCATTTTAATTTAAATGAGTCGACTATTCGGTCGATTAAGCAATCGGGAGAAAAGATCAGAAATTTGGTCGCATCCGGATCATCTATTCTTGCGAAAAATGTTGCTCGTCCGAGAGCACTTATAATGGAAAAAATAGAACAAGCGCTAATATTATGGGTAGAAGATATGAACAAGAAACGGTTGCCTTTAAATAAAACTGCACTTAAACACAAAGCCTTAAAAATATTTGATTATTTAAAACAAATGGGACAGTCGTCAGCTGATGAAACCAGTGTTAAATTCGTGGCTAGCAATGGCTGGTTTGAAAAATTCAAAAAACGCCATTCAAACGCCAAGTTTTTCTCTTTTTAGAACGGAATCCCAGTTTTTGTATTAAGTTGGTGTCTCCTATAACGCGATTTTCCACAACGCGGTATTTTCAAGGAACGTATCTGCCGCGTTGTAGGAGGCCTACCTCTACTTTCTTCTAAAAGAAAAATCGATTAAGAGAGAACTTCAGAAATGCATGGCTCCATGTAATAAAAGTTAGGCAAATTCAAGCAAATAAAAATATCAGATTTTCTGAAAAAATGTAGAGAAAAATCAAGATACTTCTGATCAAGGTCATCAAGAAAGCTTAAGAGATGGCATTATTTTACCAAAAAGAAAATCACTAATTAACTAACAATCACAATACTTTTGATTGTTATTGTTAGTTAATTACTGATTATTTTAATAAAGGTATTTTTCTTAATAAAGAAGAAATTAATGTATCTATACATTTGTTAATTTTTGGAACGAAATTCTATGTTTTGTGCTAGTCCTTTGTTTCGTATAACATGAATTTTCACAACATAACACTTTTTTCCAGAACCCAACTACCGTGTTAAACGGGAGATAAAATAAAGCAAAAAATCCGTCGTGATTTTCTTCACGAAATAATTCATAATATTGAACTCTTTTATGTTAATTGTAATTAACTACTTAGTATTAAACGTTTTACTATAATAATTTAATTATATATATTTTAAATATAGTTGCTTACTTCAGGGAAAGATGTCTCAACTTTCATTGCTTTCTTCCTTCCGGATAAATTTGTTAAGAAATATATACGTAAATTAGATATGAGAATAGTTTTATAATACCAACGATTAAAAAAATGACACTTTATGTGAGCTAAAAGATTATCTACATTGGGATTTAGTTTCCCGTTATCAAATACTAAAAAAAGATTTCATTCGTGATTTCAAAAATCATCTTTACTGGTGTTATGTTTTAAAATATCAAAAACTAGATCAAAAATATATTGCTGATAATTCACATAGTTTATTAATCAATGTACTTCATGATATTTGTAATGTTTTTGATTATATGATAGAAAAATTAAATAAATTCAAAGAAATAAGCTTGGATAACTGCTGATTTATTTCAGAAATGGTTTCTAAACTACTCTGTAACTATATAAAACAACTAAAAATGTGATTTTCAAAGTTTACTAATATTGGACTAAATTACTTTAAAAATTTAAACCATCCGAATGTTAAAATAATATTGTTATCACTGAATACAACTCTTTATTTTAGCCACAGATCAGGGAACCATAGCCATATTTAAAACTCATGTAATGAGTTTTAAATATGGCTATTGCAAAGAGTTATTCACAAACTCTTTGCAATAGGTTGTGAATAAAATGGATAACTAATCTACAAAAGTTTACAAAGACATGGAAACTGTTCACATTTTTGAATTGTATTAATCTCATATCTTTGCCCATCAAATAAATAAAACCATCAATATTAAACGCTGGAAAAATTTATGGCCAAATAGTTCAAAACTTCAATGTAATCCATACAACAGAAAACAAAATTAAAGTGATACTAGACTTGCTAAGTTTCTAAGAGGAGAAAGTTTTGATGATATAAATCTTGAAGATATCCAAAATTAGAAGAAGAATAGATTCATGAAGGAAATTCGGTGGCGATGGGATCTGAGGTTGAACAAATTAATTCAGAAGAGGATAGCACAGATGAAAATCTCGAACCTTAAAATATTGTCCTGAAAAGCATGCGGGAAAGGATAAATGTGGTCTAAATTGGAACTGCTTTCTAAATATATTACAGGTAGGCCTCCTACAACTCGGTACCTTTACAACGCGTTTTCGCTCCAACGCGGTTGGAAAAATGTGGAAATTTTCTTACAACGCGGTACTTTTACAATGTGGTATTTTTACAACGCGGTTTACGGTAATTAGAAACGAATTATCTTCACATAACAGAAAAATCGCAACGGATCACGTAATACGAGCCGCAGTTCGGCATACGGAGCTAAAAGTCTTTGAAAACAGCTGTTTGTGGACGTTGGCGTGTTATTCCCTTGAAAGTTTTCAGGGGAAGACCGGTTTCTAGACAGATGTGCATCAGTTACCGTAAACACTCAAATATATCACTAAATTTTCGATCATTTATACTCTTTCAATAAGTGGGGACCGCAGAAATGATCCAAAATACAGCATAAACTTCTATTGGGTGTATATTTTTAACAACATAGTGAAAGGAAGTTATTTTTTGCGATTTTTACTGTCCACAAAACTGATTGAAAAAATTTTAGCCATAACAATGCCGAATGAAAAGAAAGGACCGTCGTTAAAAAGGAAATTTATAACTCTTCAAACAAAGATATAAATTTTGGANATTATACATTATTGTATTTCTTCTCGCTTCTCAAGTCTTTTGCTTTCTTCTCTACCTTTTAATAAATTAAATTAGAATATTAGATTTCATATATTTCTCCAGATATTTTTATTTTTATTATTAAAATTACATTAATTAATTATGTGAAACATTTGACATTTACATATATAGCGTACACAGTATATATATTTCGTGTTTTTCTATAGCATCAGTTATTAAAGCATTCGAAGCTGAACAGCGATTCCATTTTTACGCTTGTTTGGTAAGAATACTCGTACGTTTACGAATTAGTTTCGATTATTCTGTACGTTACTTTTATGTCATGTCGTAGTATCATTAAGAGCAAATTTTTATTGATTTTTATTTTTAAATCATTGAAGCCAAATTCATTAAACAAGTGGTCCATTAATGTATCATTTCTATTAATATATTTAGAATTAACAATGAGTTTTTATATTTTACTGTGTGTTGTTCTCATTATGAAGCATATTATCTAAATATATAAAATTACATGTCCTGACTGAGTGACTGTTGATTCATCATTGCCCATAGCAAACCGCTGAACCTAAAGTGGTGAAATTTGGTACACAGGGTACGTCATGAAAATGCATATTAAGAAGGGATTTTTGGAAATTCCCTCGCAGGAGAGAGGGAGAGAATTAAGACTTAACCTGAATAACTGCTTATATTGTTTTATTTTTTAGATGCGATTTTTTGTTTTGGTAGTAATAATTTAATTTCCAAACGTATAATATATACCAAATCATCCAAATTGTTTGCCCGAGCAATGCCGGGCTCATTTGCTAGTTTCATATAAAAGTCACGTTCTTTACATGAAAATAATATGTTCACATCAATTATGTTTGTCAATTTCCATAAAACTATTAACGTTTCTTTATTATTGTGCTGCAATTTGAAAAAATTGTAGATCTATAATTCCCACTGTTGTCCGTCTGTCCGCCTGCCTTTCCTTAATCTCGAGAATGGACTTAGATACATGAAAAATGAAACAGATATGAAAACCTTAGTGGCAGGAAACCCAATTAACAATTTACGAACTTCTGATGCAAACTGGAAGACACGTTATTTCGATAAAAAAATTTTCACTCAAAAGTGTTAGACAGATCACAGGTACGACGGGAAAGTATGATTTACAGGGGCAAGACACTACAGTACTAATTTGAGGTGGAGAGCATATATTATAAATTAAATAACTTAAAAATATGATTGAAAATTGCAGCCCGGCATTGTGAAAGAACTTTTATTACTTTATTTAGAGTTGTAAACTGTATAGTATTAGGATTTAAATGTAGAATTAATGACTAAAAACTTAAATGCAATTATAATTTTATATAGTTCTAATGTAAATTAAATATAGTAATATTTTCAATACATTTTCGCTCAAGTCAAGCTAATTTGAATTGAATGAATCAGAAAATTGCATGTTTAAAGTGACTGTTTTCTGTGTTCGTTATAATAAGTTTGGTTTTGAGGCATATTAATAACCAATTGAAAATTTAATATAGTTACCCAAACAAGAATCATTTTATACTACTAGTTGTGTTTGTTGTGCTAATTTGTGCTAATGTTTTTACTAGTACATGCATGGTCTTCTCATATATATCAGGGCCTGTTCTTAGCTTCAAAAAGTGTCTGCCAGCAAATTTGTCGCTAGGAGTGTTGATACAGGCTATGCTCATTTTCACATTTCAATGACGTTGTATTAGTTGAACACGTTTCTGGTGAAGTTGTTTCGCATAATTTTATCTGTATGAGCGCAAAGGCGAATAAGACAATAGTTTGATTAATTAAGGACATAGGTTACATAAACTGGTATGGTGTATTGCTTCGTACCACGTTGCAAATAGACGAAAGGGAAGACACCCGGCGTGTCATTTCATAAATTTCCTTCGCAGAATAGTATAGGAAAGGCATGGATAAAAAACATATCCAGAGAAAAGGCCAAAGGAAACTTGCTGCAGCCTAATGACAGGTAAGTTGAAATGTTGTAAAGTAAATAATACTTGGAGACAGTGGCGGATTTCTGCACAGGCGCACGAGGCACGCGCCTGGGGCCTCAAAATTCAGCTCTCAAAATTAAAAAAAAAAATATTTTTTAATTAATTTTTTCATAATATAAATAATTAATAATTTAGCCGTATTCTCTAAATTAAATTACACTTAATTATTTATCAAACAATAGTGAAATCTAATATAATAATTTACGAATAAATTTTTATTATTCGTAGATTGCTAGATTTTTTTGTTTTTAACACTTACCAATTGAGACGTAATAATTCTTGTACGAATAAGTTTCAATTTTCACAATTAATACAATCTGAATATCAGTAACCTTTTAAATACAGCCAGGCAGTTGTAATTTTATATTGGTTAGTTTTCGATGTTATTTCTCTATGTCTCACTTTTTTGAATCACTGGTATAGTGCCTATAGTAAAAAACATGGGCATAAAATGCACATTGTAGGGGTTAGGGGTAGTGAAAATATTTAGAGGAAGCCTCAAAATTGAATGGCTCCTGAGGCCTCTCAAATGCTAAATCTACCACTGCATGGAGAGAGACTGTATGGAAGGAGCTCATATCTATTGTTAGACACTTTAGGTCAGTAGTTTGCAGCCTACATTTCCATTACGATGCTTTCTTAACTGAACTTAAGCGACAACGTTTAAAGCCTGGCATTTGAGGAATATCTATCATACATGCAATCTAAAGTTTTGCAACGTAGAAAGACCAAGGATAGGACACAATCAGTAGCTACAAAAAAATAGTGACAAGATTGGTTTTATATGAAACTTAAACCACAAACCTGTATTAAAAATACCTTAATCTAACATGTAATTATTATCTTAAAAAACAATGAAGCTTTTTTACTTTAAATGCAGTTGGCTTCATACATGTGCAAATGACAGTTTTTGAATAAAGCATATTTTTACAATTTTACATTTTTAATAGCAAAAAACGATAAATTTTCTCAAGAATAGTTAAATAAATTCACAGTCTTATAAATCCGACATAGATTTTTAAAAGATAAATGTGACAATAAATTATTTTTGAATTTTCTTCCGCTCTAACTCGTATGTAGTAAAGCACATGGTATTCCGTGGCCTGTAACAGTGTCCCTATCGTCGTTATCATGAAACTGCCTTGACAGACTCCAAACAATGGGATCGACGAGCTAAGAACAGGCTTTGAACAGGCCATGGGTACATGTTATGCTGGATATGTTTTCACGAGTGACTACTGTTGATCTTCCTTATGATCTAGTGTTTTGTGTTAACGTGTCTGTTGTACAACTTGGTCTTTCATATGTTGAAGCATTATTCGCAGAATAAGATTGTTGCGTTTAATTTCTCATTTCTGACCAACAATCCTTTAGTCTAGAACAGTGAGATGTGGATATTTTTGTACGAATTGGTCATGTAATGTCTATATGTATGCTCTTATGGCTGTTTGGAGTTTTGTAATGTTATTTCTTCTGTCCACCCGATGCGTTGGCGTTTCCGATCTTGGTGATCAGTGGCTGAAGTTGGTAATCAGTTGCTGTCACTTAGCACGTTGGCTGAGTTGGTGTTTGTTGTCTATAGTGTATGACAGAGATGGTTGATGTGTTTCTGATCCAGTAGCCTACATTTGGGCCAGTGCTGTGACGAACTGATGGACCAAATGACTGGAAATTTTCGAACATGACTCTCATCTTAATCTACGAACGTGGATTTTCTTAACCTGGCGATGTCCGAACCCTTATTATTATGCCTAATATTAGTTTTAAGTGTATTCTAATTAATTTTTTTTATTTCTGCAGAAAACGATGTTTCGTATACAGCACAAACCTCTCATCGTATGTTTAGTCGTATTTTGCTTGATGCTACATTCGTTTAAATTCGCTAAAAGTGAACTTATGAGTGCTTTAGGCTGTTACGGACAAAGAGATCGTGCTACATTTTATTGGCTTATTAATCTATGTTACGATTGTTATCGACTGTACTTGGCTATCGATATAGAAATTGGTTGCAGGTAAATATAATAAACTGTAATTAAAATAGATATAAAATTGTAAATGACTTAAAATCATATTCTAAATGATATAAACATTAAGATATTCGACACATTTGCTAAATAAATTCATAAAATTAAATGTAACATAAGAGTGTGTTAACTAAAAATTCGGAATATAAAAATGATTTTATTCTGCAAGCTGTGCTGTTACAAAATGAACAATGCACGTAAAATAAATTAAAGAAGATATGTTTGATTTAATCTTCCAGTTTAGCAAAATCGAATCTGCTCCCTTTCGAACGTTCGTTTTTACATGTTTCAAAAAGGTCTGAAATTGTTAGTCGTAAATTAGTGCAGGTTGTCTGATGTAAGGTGCCAACATCGTTCGAATCATTTTGATCGTGGTACATTAGATATATTGCTTTCATTAGGAAATCTCCGTAGTTTCCATATCCCATGTTAGTCAAAGGCAGCAATTGAGTGTTGAGTGTAGTGTGACGTTGTCTGTAAGCAGTTCAACGGATGCAGCCTACCGCTCTAGAGATCTGGGTCCGTATTCTGGTCACTTATCTCTCGTTTCTCACGAATGACATCAAAATGAGAAACGAAATTCGTCTCTCATTTTGGGTCCATCCTTCATCACCCGGCCAACTCATCGTGGTCCACGATTTAACCCAAAATGAGTTTGGGTCCCGTCTCAGTGTCCACAGAGCAAAAAGAGTTTTGAAAGAAACCAGTTCAGCAATGTAACAAACATTTAGGGGAACATGAGGCGGAATGGGGTAGCTAACGAAGAAGTTAAAATTATGTCAACAGTAAAAGAAAACTAACAAAAATATTACATTATATCCTTTATTTATTATATTTNCATTTAGGGGAACATGAGGCGGAATGGGGTAGCTAACGAAGAAGTTAAAATTATGTCAACAGTAAAAGAAAACTAACAAAAATATTACATTATATCCTTTATTTATTATATTTGGCACATAATTATTTAAATTAGAATTTTAAAAATCAATAATTTTGTATGAAAAATAAATCATTAAAAAAAAGCTTGCCCACATCCCGTTCCGCCCCGCACTCGGGGCAGAATGGGAAATGAGATTAGTGCTCAAATATTAGTAAAAATAGCCTTGTTGCTTACAAAACTCACAAACCAGCACGGAATCGTCATCGTCGCTGTCAAAACCCGCACAAGACATATAAGCCCATTTTTTGCATGCGACACATAAACATTAACCCTCAATCGACTGTGAGTTAGCCTCGGTGCAGTAAAGGCAAGTCGTATCATCTTTTCCTCCCGAGTAATCGTCCCCTTGTTCTTCTTTTTTACTAGACTTTGTTGTTTTTTCTTTTCCTTTACCTTTTTCTTCCCCGTCCCATTGTGCCCCACCCGTTGTGTCCCAAAGCACATGCTTCTAAAAATCAAGTAGAGAAAAAAGTTTATGATTACTTTTTGCGTTATTTCATTCTAAAAATACAACAAACAAATCTTTAATAAACTAGACTATATAAATTTTGTTAAATTATAAAACATACCATATACTTTCATTGTTTTAATGTTGATACACTTGTAATTTCATCAAAAAAATTACGAAGCAAGGTTTTATTGGTCAACGACAAAGTGAATCACGATAACCAAGTATTCACACTGACGTATTGTCGCAGTCTGAGTGTAGGACAGGGAGCGAATCAATTCCCTCACCTCTCATATTTCATATGTAAATCGTCTTTCCCATTCCTCTCTGGGTTCCCCTAATACTGTATTTAGATAAACAAACAATTTACAATAAATGGGTTTAAGTAACTGGTTAGTCTATAATGTCTCTGAAAACGGGCATCAATTCAAGGCCAGAACGCCTCTTTTACTTCTGCACTCCTTCGTTTCGATTTCTTCTCTTCTTAATTTCTTTTCTGTTCTTCGTTTTCCTTGCTTTTCCTTTTATTGTTTTCTTTGACCCAACTGTTCTTTGCCTTTTATCTTCTTCTGATCATCTGGTGTCTGCTGATTGTTTCTGCTTCGCTTTCCATCCATTGATTTGCTGGTAATGGGTTTCAGGTTGCAAGCTGAAGATAATAAAGAAAAGAAAACAGCAAAATCGAAACAATTAATTAATTTTTGTACCACGTGTATTAAATTTTTATATTTATTTCCGGTTAAAATTTTTCGAAATTACTCTAATTAATGGTAGAATAATCAAAACAGTAAGAAATATTTTAAATAATAAAATACAGCGTAAAAATTTGTAAAATCATAAAGTATTTTAAAGTTAAAAACGAAATAATTAAAAATTTTGTTCTTTTAATTTTCAGAGAAAACTGTTTTACAACCGATTATTTCGAAAAGTGCATGATTGCTCTACAGTTAACAGAGAGTGAAAAAGAAGCAAATAGAAATAGAGTAAAGCTTATATCTAGTTAATTTTCCATTGTCAATTAAAGGAATACTTGTAACCTATTCTTTAACTTGTATTTTTGATGCCATACAATTGTTATTAAACATATAAAAAATTGTCTTGACGAATTGTGTATACTTTCTATTGTAATTGGATATTTTAAAATTTCAAACGAAAATTTTTAAACACTACGAATACTACAAAATTTAAAAATTAATAAGAATGCAAAAAATAAAAAAATCCAGCAAACAATTACGTAAATTTCTCGGAAAAAAACATTTAAAATTGGGTAGCAGTGCCATCTCTTATTGTATTTTATTATAAAAACGTTTAATATTATTAAATATTATAAAATGACAAAAAGCTTCATTTTGAAGATAGAGATAAGTTTTCAAAATTTAAATGCTAATAATGAATAAAATCTTCATGAAGTCCGACTCTACAGGAGATGCTACACGCGACTCCACTCTATCTCACCATCCATTCGATCTTTAACCATCAAAATTTAATAGCATTAATCCACCTAATACCCAAAACTCCCCGCATAAATTCAGAAATTTTCGACAAAAGACACATGAGTTATTAAGCTTCAAGTTGAATGAAAAAAACCTTTTTCTGTATATCCACAAACATCCATACATGCAGAAAAATTTCCTGAAATTTTTTGTATTTCTCGATGTTTTAAGGTGTGCTTACTTCAAAAATTTAAAGATTGTTTTGAGGGGTTTTTTTTGTTTTACTTTCTCTCTGTTATATATAACATCCAGAAAAATAATGACCACTTCCATTATACAGTATTACGTATTATGTACACAAAACTGTCTTTATTTAGTTTAAATTACCTTAAATATTTCTTTCAGTTTGTTTTTAAAATGATTGTTTTTATATACTATTTTATTGTTAATTTTAATTTATATAATTATTGAATTTATAATAAATATTATCGTAGGCTGTATTTATTTTATTTTTATACTTATTTATTACTAATAATCTATACTAGTCACTATTTTTTTTATTAATTCCTTTACACATTTATAACACGCATAATTTATAATATTATCATGATAGATTTGTAAATACTGTATACAATGATACAGACATAATATAGGCTATTAAAAGCAAACAAAAGATACATCATTTCTTAGGCAATTCTATGATATTGATACTTTATATTATATGAAGAAATCATAAGAAATATCAGTAATAAGACAATTAGTAAATATTGCTTGTACACAGTGGAATTCGATTGAATGATCCACAGATTTTCTAGTATAAAACTTCATTTAGAAGTGATCCATTTATAAAAATCATTAGCAAACTGCACTTTATATTTTTCTTTTCCTTTGACGTTTTCTTTAACTCTGCTACACATTGTGGCGAGACAATTCTGTAAATTATAATTAAAAACAACATAATAAAAATTAACAACAAATTATAAGTTTTGTATTTATATAATACTATAAACATTTATTTTAAAAATAAATATATAACATTACACACATGTGTAACAAACACATTAAATATTTTATAAAATATAGTTCAATTCATACATACAATTACATGTTTCGTCCAGGTTTTGCAATTTTCAGGAGACTGAAAATTTTATTTCATGTAATTAAATTGTTAAATTTTTAATTAAAAAAATTAACAAAAGTTTTAGATTGAACCAAAATAAAAATATTAGTTTATATAAACAAAAGGTATATTAAATAAAATGTTAATAATAAAACAATACCTCAAACATTATATTCGAACATTTGTTATCAATCTATAAAAAATTCAAGTTAATCATAACATTGACATCTTGGTAAATATTAAAAAGATATTAAATTATTCACTAGATTAATTAATTAATATTTAAAATTTATACAATAAAATGTTAATTTACTTACTTTCTTATAGGAAAATGAATAAAAATAACTTACCCAGAATTCGCTTATATTCATGTTATATTTTAAACAAGGTTCTACGTTCTAGTTATATTGAAAAAAGTCATAAATAGAATTTATATAAATATATATATGTATAGTACAATATATATAATTATAATAAATTTCAAATTAGAAAAAATATTTAAGTTTTTAAAATGTTTATTACCTTTCCAAATACCATATGCAATTCTTCAGATACTTTCTAAAAAATTTATAAAATTAATTTTGAATTTAATATTCTTAAATCATTTATAATAAGAAAAGAATTATAATATTTGTAAATACTACGTTATCTGTCGATTGTAACGTCTTAATTAGGTCATAAAATTTTTGGTATAGGCCTATATATTACATTACGTTCGATTTTTTAGTAAATTACTTTAAATTCGAAGTAATAACATTAACTATTGTACATGAAACTTTAAATGCATAGTGCCTGATTAACCCAAAACACAGAAAAGAGTTTCTAAACTATCTGAAACACTTCTGGTCCCATCAAATTTGGGTAATCCAGTTTCTAATGTATTTCTATAAATATGGAAGAAATAGTATCAATTATTATTAACTAAATATATATGAAATAACGCT